CCATTGGTTGGTGTGAAGTCGCCCACCATTGTTCATGAGCTTCGATCACTGATGGGAGTCCTATTCCAAATTTATTCAGCATTTTGCATCCGTTGCCGATCTTTTATTCACGTTGTTGAATGGCAAGAGTTTTATTTGATCAGGCAAACCTGAGCATGTTCTTCGAAAGCTTTTACAAATGCTTACCTCTGGTTGTGTTCGTAAATTCTTTCCGAAACTAACAACCGTGTTTTTCACGGATACCTCACCAAGCGGTATAGGTGCCCCGTTCGAGCAAGGTGGGCACCCTGTTCTGTGTATCTCTCGTCGACTCAACAATGCTGAAATGGGCTATGCTCAGATTCATCGAGGAACTTCGGATGTATACTGGGCAGTCACTAGACTTCACAGATATTTGTTTGGTCTCAGATTTACTATCGTGACAGATCATGAAGCTCTAAAGTTCATTTACAACCCGGCCAGTTCTTTAGCTAAATCTTCAGCAGCGATGGTTCAAAGGTGGAGTGTTGCTCTTAGCGCGTACAACTATTACTTGAGCACAGAAGTGCAAACTTCATTCTTCACGTCGACTACTTATCGCGGAATGCAACGGTGTTCGAAGCCGCTTCTGAGATGAGTTGTTTACTCACCCAGCCGCTTGCAATCTCTCGTTCCGCCCTTATCAAGGAGACTAGATAGTATCACGGATCATTGATTTCTGCTCTCAAACGAGGAGGATCTGTTTCCTTAAAACGGATTTTTCCACAATTTTATGTGCGTCGTGATGCGTTGTGTTACACCTGATGGATTACTGTGTGTGAATGACCGTGTCATTATTCCGCCTACTTTGAGATCAGCTGTTCTGACGGATTTACATTCTGCTCATCTTGGTGTTGAAAAGACGAAGTCGTTAGCTCGGTGCTTATGCTAGTGCCCGGAAGTAAATGCAGATATTCCTCCAACTGCTTCTGATTGCTCGAACTGTAAGCACAAGATTATACAGCACCCGTCCAAGTGGACACCATGACCGATGACATGTGAACCCTGGCTAAGGGTACATATGTATTGCTGTGGACCATTCCTCCAAAAGTACTATGGTGTTGGTGGTGGATTCTTATTCAAAGTGGCCGGATGTATTCCTGGCTGATAAACCAAATGCTGATTTTACTGTCTGTGCCTTGAGAAAAGTCTTTAGTTGGAAAGAAGTGCCGTTAGCTGTTGTACATGACAATGGTTCAAGCTTTTCAGCTTCATTTTCAACTCATTGGTGTCGTCATCTTTTTACTGCTCCACTACATCCATGCTCTAATGACCTAGCTGCAAATTTATTGCAACCTATACGTTCAGTTACTGTGTTCCTACTGCTTTTGGTGAAATTAATCGCCGTGTTGATAACTTCTTCAATACCGCAGCGGTGTGCATTCCACCATCGAAGATGCTTGGTTTGGGCACGGCTGAAGTATCTTATTTTAGAAGCAGTGATTTACGTCCTTCATCCGGAATCATTTTGTTAGCAAACTTGGAAGTCGTATGGTTAAAATTTTGGATCTCGATGACTGCTCTGTACACGTAAACCGCATGCTGATCTGGTACGATACAAGGATTCCGTTCAATTGTCATTTGATTCTATGTGTCTTGAAAATACTAATGATAATTCATTTTCAGATTCTCATGAGAGTTCTGAACACAGTCAGTCTCCAAGAAAATCCACCCGATTGCAACAGAACTCCCAACCGAATTACAGGAATCTTGAGTTGCATTCAAGCTGCAGAGGAGTGACCTCTCCAATCAGTCATTAACCGTTGTGCCAAGCATTGCCCCTCGTGACCTGATCGCTAAAGCCGTAGAGACTCCAATTAACATTCCAATGGCCCCTGGTTCGATACTTGCTATCTCTATCTGACGAGAACAAAAGAGATCGAAACCGGTTGTTCAGTGCAGTGTTTTCATGAGGGCAACACACAATATTCATCAGTGTAGCCCAGTTCACTTCTGTATCCCACTCACATTGGTCTCCGTACCTTCATCATCATCATAATTATACACGTCAGCTAGAGGTGGGAAACACCTCAGCTACTGTGCCGCAATATATAAATGAAAAAGGAAAATAAATACAACAGTTCCACGCCAGCGGAGGTACCAGCAACGGATGGGCATCGTTCCGGTATTCTACCAGCCGGTTACTAGGCAAAAGAAAAATTATTGTTTTAGGCTACGAAATGAGATCGTAGGTGGAGGAGAGGCTAAAAGGGATGGGGAGGGACAAAGAAACTCACAGCAGGAAAGCCACTGAGGTCGGCTCCTTACCATGTCAGCAAGTGCACCCAATCAAACGTGTTCACCGTCTTTTGGACCCCAACCAGGTAGCCGAGACGCTCCAACCGAGGCCAGCTCCGAAGTGAAGGCCTTCATTTCTCTCGACCAAGTCATCGCTTGGTCACTCCTCCTCTTCTTCCATCCACACCCCCGGTGAGCAAGCAACGCACGTCGTGGAAGTCGATGGGCTGGCATGCGTAACACGTGGCCCAACCATAGGAGCCTGGTGCTTGAAATGACGGTACTGAGCGGTTCAGTTCCTTGTTCTGTGCCATGAACAAGGCGTCGAACACGCTCGTTACTCACGCGATGTTCCCACCAGATGTGAGCCAAACTGCCCAGCCATCGATGGTCGAACGTAACTAGCCTCTTCTTGTCCGCCGATCTTAGACACCAGGTTTCGCAACTGTACAGTAAGGTCGAACGTACCGCTGCATCATACATTCTACCGTTCAGGACGAGAGTGATGTCGCGTCGCCGCCATAGGTGGCGAAGCTTAGCAAAAGCACTTCGGCCTTTTGCTATACGGTTCGTGACCTCGTCTTCGATCCCAAGGGTGCCGATACAACTTCCCAGGTAGTTGAATTTCCGAACCACTTCTAGCTGATTCCCACCAAGGGTCAACGCAGGTGGCCATCCCTACCAAACTTGGAGGAACGCGAAGCGGCTGACAGCCAGTGCTAATCCGTCCAGTGCGGCTTGGCACGTCTGGGAGCTGTCACAGATGAGGGCAATGTCGTCAGCATACTCCAAGTCAAGAAGTCGTTCTCCTGGGAGTAGCTCCACACCTTCCAAGTCATGTCCTGTAAATGCAATCTCCATGACTCCCTCAATAACGAAGTTTAAGAGGAAAGGTGACAGCAGGCATCGTTGGGTGGCGACAGCTTGCCGTAAGCCCTCACTCTGCCTGTGCTACGTGCATATAATGCTTGGATTATATTCACATATTTCTCGGGCACACGTTTGCTGAGTAGACAATTCCAAAGTGTACATCCATCAACCGAATCGAAGGCACCTTTGATATCGAGGAACACGACAACGGTGCGCAGCCAATATATGTGACGGTGCTCCAACAACTGATGCAAGGTGCAGATGTGGTCGATGCAGCCACGACCCCGACGAAACCCGGTTTGCTCTTCACGAATCTGGTTTTCACGAGCGCCAATCAGTCTGTGAAGAATTATGAAGGCGAGTAAGTTGGAGGCAATGGAGATCAGACTGATTCCTCTATGGTTGCCACATTCCGAACGCGAGCCTCCTTTGAAGGTAGGAACAATACCGGAGCGGCTCCAGTCGGTTGGGACAGTCTCTTGCTTCCACAGTTTCACTAGTAACTCATGCAAACCATCAACAAGAGTAGTGCCTCGGAATTTGAAGAGGGCTGGAGGAAGATCATCTGGTCTCCGTACCTTCACCAGACGCTTGAATGTTACATAGACCAGGCAATCGTTTGAATTTACGGCCCATTATAAAACCAGTTTCGTGCAACTTTTCAGGTCTGTAGTTCAAGAAACAACTCCAACGGGCGTTTAAGCATTTGCTTTCAGGCGACCGTAGCATAGTTCTCCAGATCCTTTAGTGCAATCTGATTTTCGATAATTAAGCCCGTCATTCATGTCAAATTCTAACAGACTCTGGCTTGTATGAAGATTGGGGATTTCGGTCTCGTAATATTGGGGTCAACATCTGTCAGGTGTTGTAGTCCCATGAATCCTCTTATAAATAAATGTACAAATAAATTGTAGATTTCTTGAGTTACCGAGAAATCATGTCCACGACCTGAACGGAACATCGGCAGCATACTCATACATACGAACATGTCCAGAATTGGGGCTGATACAATCATAGAGATGAAGCGCTTTCTTTCGCCTCATGCTGAGGTTGATGCTGCATTCATGATGCTACTTCACTGCAGTTGAGCTAAACCAACTTACACTTAATCTAGGTCTTTTCTAATCTGGATAAAATCCATTTCTCTTTATTTGCTTTGTTCAATTCTGTTACTCTGCTGCATATTTTGCGTCAATTTTGTGTGTTTGCTTTCCCTTAAATTCTAGCTGCGTTCGATATCCCCTTTATGGCTGCGCTCGATGTGGATGTTGACAAAGTGCCTACCTGTCAAATACCCTCCACCTCGTCCATACTGGCTCCAGGAGACAGTTGATGGTTTCTAGCTGGAGCGGGGTGCACGGTTCTCGTGACGGTGCTGGGTCCAAAATGGTTCCATGCATCTTGTGTGGAACAGGCTACGACCCAGCTACCGCCTTGTGTACGTCTGGTACGCATGCTTTCGCAGTTAGGCCGGAATGCTTTTTCTGTTTGTTGATGGAGTGTCGGCCGGCTCCGTTGATGAAACGTGGCTCCCATCCATATGCTTCCCGGTCTTATTCCTTCGGGTTTACACTGGATATGGGGTGTGTGGGTGGAACTATGGGTGGTGCAGCGCAAGCCACCCATGGTCCCCTTTGTAGGCGCAGGCATCCTGTGGCTGGCCACAGTGACAGGCAAATCCGAAACCGGATGCCGCCAACCATATATATATATATATATATATATATATATATATATATATATATATATATATATATATATATATATATATTGCCGAGGTTTGTTCGAATGCCTAGCTGGAAAGCGCAACCAAATAATCTATCCACTGATACTATTCATCGACGCTCTACTCCGCTTTACTCCCCGTCCATTAGCTACTCCTAATGCGAACTCCAACGCGCTGATTCAACCCCCTTTGGTTCATGACATCGTTGGCCAAGGTCTTCAAAAGAGCGATGGACATTTTGACCTTAGGAAGGAACGCACTGAAATTACGGCCGATTCTGCTGGAGGGATTCTCAATCTGTCAGGTGAGTATTTTGGTTTGCCTTACGCTGCATTTTTATTTTGCTAACTTCCTTTGACCTTGTTACTGTCGCCATTCTACTTTTTCTCCTGCTGTAGCGCCTGCATTTCTGGGCTCCACCCAACCACCTAAGAGCTCTGTCGAAAAGGAGGTCGCTGTGCCATTTTCGACCTCTATCGTTGTTGAATCTGCACTTGGGCCTGGCGAACGACCATTCTTGCCCAGTCTTCGTCGATCACGACTACTTTGCGGGCCTCCTCGAGGTACCAACCAGACGACTCAACTGACTCACTCACCAAGCCCATTGATTGGTTCAGAGCGGGACGAGCAGAAGGAAGAATCACTGTGCTTGTCCTCGACATACTCAACTCCATTTTCAGATCGAGATAGTGTAAGGAGTGTTGATGGGGTCTCTGCTCCATCCGACTTGGAAAAACAACAACTTGCTCTCGAGTATGCTGTCTTTTTTCATTACTGTCTCATCAAATATTGCGTTTTTCCCCGTAACCACTGCAATGCCACAATACGGTCCTGTATTATTGTTAGATTAGTTCAGATTCTTTCCGTTGTTCATTTTGCCTGCTTTCCAACCATAATTCTGATATGACCCGTTTTTAAGTTCCTTCCTCGCCAAGGCTGCGTATTCATATGACGCCCCATCGAAGATATCTCAGCACTTCACTGTGGTATGGTGCTGTGCCTTCACTTCTGATGTTGTTACGGCTGTTGCACCTTTTGGTCTCTTGGTTGGACTAGGGGTACAGAGGTGAATCCGCAGCTCTCTTCGATCCGGATGCTTTGCAGCTAAACACTTTGTTGCTACTTATGGACTCTTCAAAGGCGAACAGTGGTTATTTTTTATTCACTTGCTCCTATCTTGTGCTCGTATTTAGTTAGACCAGTGGTCACCAAACTATGGCCCGCCACGTCAGTTCATCCGACCCACCGGCTGTACCCGAATTCACATGATAAAGCGTATGGAGTACGAAATGTGGTGGCACAAGTTCCATTTCACACTGCATCTCGTGTTGTCCTTGACCTTCTACTGTTTAACACTAGCGTAAGCAAATTCAAGCTTGTTACGTTTGTCGCCATGCAACCGTCCTATTAGTGACCCCACATTATTAGAGCATTAAAGTGTGTGGGACTGCGCATGAAACTCATTCATTCGTTTATCCCACGGTAGTTCCTTTTACCTCACACTTCTGTGCCGCAATTTTTGGTCGCGCTCATCTCTTGATACTCGTGCCATACAAAACGCGCCGCTTATTAAGACACCATTAGTTCATGTATGCGTAGGGGACGGTTCCATAGATGGCCGTATAGTTGAACTGATGACGATTCTTAAAACTATTCTTTCTTGCACTATTTTTAATTGGCAACAAACTCCCAACACTTCGGAGGAAACATTATTACACTTAGACAATTTTCTTCACTAGGTCATTATGTATTACAATGTGATCAGACCACGTAATCGGTCTGTGTGTTGCACTGTCATGCTATGTTTGTTAATTATTTAGGACTAATTGCACCCTATCTATGGTGCTGCAACCCAAGCGGAATACACATTGCTCTTCCGCCACGTTCGGTTCCACAATCGGACTGACGAGACGGTTGAGCAGGATTCGGGCAATCACCTTGCCCACACAACTCAGCAACTTGATGCCACGATAATTCGTGGCACATTGCTTGCTCCCTGTGCGCTTGTACAATGGTAGCACAAAGGTTTCTTTCAGCTCAGGAGACACCTCTCCTCAGTCTACACATGTTGCACCAAGTGGTGCAGCGCAGTCACCAATGCGGGTCCGCCGTGTTTCAATACTTCAGGTGGGATCACGTCGGCATCGGCACCCTTGCCGTTTCGCAACTAAGCAAGTGCACTCTGCATCTCATACACTGTCGGTGTGTCCGCCAGCCTCTCCTACACCTTATGCTGCTTCAAGTCGTTCAATGTAAGCCAGTCAATCACTGAACAGTTCTTCAAGAGACAGTCAAAGTTCGTAAGTTAGATCTACATTATGTCTGCAGCCTGTGTGCAGGCAGTGCCCGAACTACCAACGATCAGCGTCCTCAGCGACTCCGATCTCGGTCCATACACCGCCTTCAATGAGGCAAAGAATTCCTTGTGTTGGCGGCGTCCGGCGTAGCATTCCATCTGCCTCGCCTTCTCCGTCCACCAAGCTTTTTTTATGCAACGGAGCCCTCGAGTCAGTCGCTGTCGAAGTTTGCGAAATTGACTATTCTTCCCCAACTCACTGGGGTCTGCCACATGTGCATCAAATGCTGCATTCTTCTCAGACACCAATGCGCCAATCGTCGCATTGTTCTCATCAAACAAATCTGGTCGCTTACAGTTTGCGCACCCGATGGTCTCCTCGGCAGCAGCGGTCACTTGGTCCCGAATGTGGTGCCACAGGTCGCCCAATGTGGCTATGTATCCCACATCACACATGCGTGCAGCCATCGCCTTCTTCAGATCCATCCTGTTCTCTACGGTTCCTTGGGAAAGAGCATCATATTTCCGCCGGTTTACGGCAGCGGTACAATACATAGATTTACGAAAATATATGTACGGTTTGGTCGCACCAACTTGTGCTCAGTGCCACACTCAGCTCAGCGCAGTACACGTGTCATGAGCACTTCACGCATGTTACGCTGCCGTACGATGACCTAGTCAAGCAGGTGAGCGTGACCACTCCGTGGGTGCGTCCAAGTTGCTTTATCACTCTTAGTGCAAACCGGGTGTTGGTGATCGTCAGGCCGTGAGTGCACACAGTGAGAGCAGCTTGTCACCGTTCGCATTCGCTGAACCAATGCCATTCGGACCGCTACATCAAGCTCAATGTGTGCGTTGAAATCACTCAGCGGGAATAGTTGGTCGCTCCTCTGCACATATCGTATCACGGAGAATAACTGAGCGTAGAATTGATCAAGCGTGTCATCAGGATAACACATGGTCGGACGATACGTGCTAATAAAAGTGACAAACTTACATCGTCCATGTCGTAGGTGAACAGTCATCAGTCGCGCGCTGATGTCGGTGGGCTCATTCACCAGCTGGTACTTTGCGTTCGTGTAGTGCGCATTCGACCCCCCTGGAACACTCAAGACTCGTGGTTATCGTCGCTCTGCTGCGCGTTCGTGCTTGGTGAATCCGCAGTCCTTATGTACACTTGTTTCAGTTCAAGAACTTTCATCAAACTGCATTATTTGCCATTCCCTTGTTGACGTTATGTGATTATGGGGTCAGTGTTGACTTTACAATCGGTCCTTCATTTCCTGATACTGCAGCTCCAGTTTCTTATCTGTGCTGGGTTTTTTACCCCTCCGTTTTGTTTTTGTTTTAATTTTTTCTACTCCAGTCTACTTGTATTGTATTGCGACACAGTAGCTGAGCTAATGATGACCTCCTTTCTTCGATGATATCGCCATATTAGCGGCCTCTTTACCCGCTGATAGTTGTTGTACAATACAGCGTATTCATCATTGTAAAACCCTCTTATCCCACTTATACATATCGGAGCATATAAACCATTGCATCTCGCTCCGGGCTCCTTAGGTAACTAACACGTTCCTGATTATTTTTGCCCTACCTCAGTCAAGAACTGGCCTCCATAGACAGCCGTCTGTCCTACTTGAAGTTGGCCGCGGCCATGGACATGGATGTTCCTCGTCCCCTAACTTCATTTGTTTGCTCGACCAGCATCACCTCCGACACCGTCTCACAACCACCGCTTTCGGCTATCACTCAATTGACTCCGCGGGGCAAGTGTGTGGTGGAAGGCTACTCTGCAGATGATCATGCGGTATGCAGTTCTAGCCCGGCGCAATCAAAACGGAGCCCGGTAAATGTTACACATTGTTGTAGCATCATTTTCGTTTGTTATGTAAAAATATAGTGGACGTTGTCTGAGTTTCATTCAAGATACAAGGTATCCGCCTTGGTCAGTGAGACGAGCCCTTTTCCAAATATCCTGTTGGCACCACAAACCCAGCGGTAATGAGTGTGTCTGTTTCATGCGATAAACCGTTTTATCAGTTATAAGAAATAAAAGAGTGACATCAGCGGTATGCCGGTAAGCAGTACCAACGTTTCGCTGCCGCGCAGCCACCACCGGTCGCTCGTGGGCTAAGGATTCCGCGAGGATCGCTCGTTGCCTACGCAGGCTTGAACCCACGTTCTCAGATTACAAGGCAGGCTTGCGACTGTTAAAGCTACGCGCCGGCTACAATCTCCGTCAGTTACGTGAATTAATTTCAGAGTCAAACGGTAGCGTAGCGGCTCAGGCTTGCGATTTTAGTCCACAGGTCTCCGGATCGAATCTGTGCAGGTGCGGGGTATCTCGCATTACCCTGGCATGCATACAACCGATGGTGGTCGCGTAGCAACGAAGTGCCAGTAGAGATACCATCACACCTGGCTTGCTTTCTCTACTTTATCCTATTAGTGTTTTTAAAGGATGTATTCCTAGCTGTCTCGTGCTGTATATGTGCCTCATCATTGATGAAGACTCCTGCCTCAATTTGCATTGTACAGCGATTCCTCAGCTCTCTGTTGATCATATTTTCCTTCTTTTCTCTCAGGGTTCTGAAGCGTCTCCGAGTGAGCCTGCTCATGATGTTTGCGTCTCAGAGGTCAAACCGAAGCCAACTGCTTCGCAACACACTTCGATCCCACTTCTCACTGATCTGCCTCAGACGTGCATCGACCGTTTGTCCGCTCTGGTTCGTAATCAAATCACATCTTCTCACTATGTTGCTCGCAGTCAGAATGGTTTCTTGGACTCAACGACTTCCTTCTCGGCGGCACCGATCACGGACCGCTCCACGGCTTCTGACGGCGCATCCGTCACAAGGGGATCTCAGAGTGAATCTGTTGTTTCTCTTGTTTTATCTTCCACCTCCACTCCATTGGAAGCAATAGACACTCCACAGGAAACGAAATCGTATGCGATGGTTGAGTTCGAGGTAGCCTGGCTGCATTTGTGTTCACAATTCATTTCTCAGCCAATACCCGTGAATAGTTTCTTTATTGTGCATGACTTTGTCCGTAGCCATCCATAGCAGCGCCACTCCAGCTGATCCAGGTTTTTATCACTGAATCTGTGAGACTCTGCTCCTTTCATTAAGTACTTGTGGCAAGTACACATCTTCCTTCCGAGCTTGGTTTACGTTACATACACTTTACCAAAGGATGTTCTCTGGTTCTCCGTCTGTATCACATACCTCATCGCTAGCCCCACGCCTGTTTCCACTTTGGTCACGAAGGTTGTTGCATTGTAATCTTTTCCCCTCCTCAACTACCGCTTTGGATCCTCCCCATCTATAAAGTTCTGTCTGAAATGCATTTAAGCAGAATTGTGCACGATTAGTGTTTGTGTGGGGTAATGTCCCACGTAAGCTTGCCGGCTTGCATTCGCGATTAAAGAAAATATCCTGGCTGATTAAAAGTAATCAACCACATTCTCCATTCGCTTGGATAGCGTTCATTGATAGGGTAACATTCTTGAATAATATAGGTAAGAATTCGCCACATCTAGACTCACTCAGATAGCCGTCACACACCCCCGGAAAAGCATTGTACGCGCGTTTCATCCTTCCGGGAATCGTCAGCAGTGTGCATTCCATCGGACCCTGGTAGGGCTCGAACCCGCAACTCGACTGTTGCTAGTCCGTGGTTGAGACCACTGAGCTACGGGGGACGGCAACGACCATCGTGAATAAGTTACTAGATGTGATATAGCGCCGCTCAATATCCACTGACTTCACGTTACTGCCGTGCAGAGGACAGGGTAGCCCCCCTCACCAAGCGACGAGCTTAACAAACTTAAGCCGCCAATTATCTTATGGCATTATAAGCAGTTTGTTCTGTGTACTGATTACAGAAGAGTAGTAGGGGGAGTTGAATGGTATAGGTAGAATTTCGTCACATCTAGGCTCACTCAGACAGCCGCCACAAGCCCGGAAAAGCACTGTACGCGCGTTTCATCCTTTCGGGAATCATCAGCAGTGCGCATTCCATCGGACCGTTGGTAGGGCTCGAAACCGCAACTCGTCTGTTGCCAGTCCGTGGTTGAGACCACTGAGCTACGGGGGACGGCAACGACCATCGTGAATAAGTTACTAGATGTGATATAGCACCGCTCACTATCCACTGACTTACACGTTACTGTCGTGCAGAGAACAGGGTAGCCCTCACACCAAGCGACGAACGTACCAAACTTAAGCCGCCAATTAACCTATGACATTATAAGCAGTTTGGTCTACGTACTGATTACAGATGAGTAGTAGGGGGAGTTGAATGGTATAGATAGGAATTCGTCACATCTACCCTGTCCTCTGCACCGCGGTAACGTGTAAGTCAGTGGATATTGAGCGGCGCTATATCACATCTAGTAACTTATTCACGATGGCCGTTGCCATCCCCCGTAGCTCAGTGGTCTCAACCACGGACTGGCACAGTCGAGTTGCGAGTTCGAGACCTACCATGGTCCGATGGAATGCACACTGCTGACGATTCCCGGAAGGATGAAACGCGCGTACAGTGCTTTTCCGGGGGTGTGTGACGGCTGTCTGAGTGAGTCTAGATGTGACGAATTCCTACCTATGCCATTCAACTCCCCCTACTACTCTTCGGTATTTTTGAATAACTTATTATAATGCTGCATTTCTTCCAACAGGAGCCCATTTTTGATCCGTCTCGGTTCACAATATCACCACAGCACACTTTGCCATGGTGGAAGAAACATTGCAAGCGTAGGAAAAATGGAGCACTGGTCAAAAAGTAGCTGAATTCGGAAACGTTTACTTTTAACAATATCATTAGGAATCAGTGCGAGATATTTTTTGTACCTGAAACTCTAGCTTTTCCCCCGGCCTGACCATCCATCTGGTGCGTTTTCTGGTATCTATCGGCTTTTTGATTGTTTCCAGCTTGCTTTTTCGATTGTTCGACTCGACCGTCAACACTGAACTCTTATCTATAGCTCATTGTTTCATTTACAACTGCTTGAAACACGTGTATCTCTGAGATTGAGTGTCCTTGCATTTACACACAACAACTACCTGTGAGTACGATCGTGCCGAAATGTCACTCTTTCCGATGGATGAGGATTCTGCTATCCACTCAGTTCTTTTCTAGGCTTTTCGCACTCTGCTCTACGCACGTTCCCACTGTACTACCGTACTTCTGCTGCGGTGGTCAATTGTTCTGAACTCTTTTCCTTCTCTCTTGTAGGCGGCCTCTTCTATCGCTTCTTCGATCGTCACCGAGTGCCCTGATCCGTCTTCAAGTACTAGTGCGGTCCAATCTTCTTTGGTTACTCTCACTCTCCCTGACAGTGAGACTGTAGATACTCATTCAAACGTTAGCGATTCTACAGATCACGAGTCTGGTCTTTCCATTCCACACATTTCTCCAAAACCCCTTTCACTTGGCCCTCCAGAAGAGGAATTACGTGTTTTGCGGTCCGGTGGGTTATCTTTTATTCATGCCATCGCCAATTTGCTGTCCCTATCACTAGAGTCCACCACTTATGCTCATCATCAAGTGCTTCTTCTTTCTCACTCCAGTGACTCGTTTGGCCAATCGTTTGGCTCATGCTGCCATTGTAGAGGCCACTACTGAGCTCAATATGAGATTACCAGAGGAACCCTGTCTCCCTCCACAACCAGAAGCCCAGAGTAGTGTCGCTGCGTTGCCGCTTCAGCAATCCTCCTTGGTATCATCATCTTCCCTTTCTTCTGCTCAACACACAGGCCCTGATGGGTTGGATACGTTTTCCTCTTCCGACTCCTTTAAAGCTGAGCTTCGCGCCGCTTTGACCTCGTCCCTTATCACATCACTTATAGGTCAATCCAGTGATTCCACTGGTTTGACAGCCGGATCCAGCAGTCTCAGTGAACTTCTCAAACAATTTCTCAGTTCACGAAGTCACCATGATTTCACCAGCAGTGGGCTAGAGTAAGTTATTCGCTTTCTCGGATTTCTTAGTCCATAATCAATCCAGCTGTTTATCGTGAACAGCTTACAGCTGTTATTCTCAACTGCTTTCGTCTAACGCACCGGCAATGACGCTGATCACGCTCGCTTGATCACATATGACAACAACCACTCCAAGCCATTGATGTTAACCGCTTTGTCTTCCAATAGCCCCGATGTACAACCATGGTGAAATGTGCTCACACGCGCACACAAGTGCGCGTCCACATTCCTGGAAAAGCACCAGACTGCAGTTTCAGCCCGTTTGTGCATCATCAGTAGGGCGCATCCCTCGGACCCATCAGGATTCGAACCCATGACCACCATCGGCTTGCAACTCCAGTCAGGAGCTTATTCAACTGGGCAACTGGCCGTGCAAGCCGGTAGTGGTCATGTGTTCGAATCCTGCTGGATCCGATGGATGCGCATTACTGATGATGATGATGATGCGCAACAGGCTGCAACTGCGGTCTAGTGTATTCCGGGCATGTGGACGACTATCTGATTTGGCACTGGCTGCGGCGAACCGTCAATTAGCTAAATCTTTTACTTTGTGGCCTTTATAGTCCCCATGGACTCCGACTGCTCCTGGTATCCAAATCCATTAACCTTTTCTGTGCTTGACTGTCATACATAGATCATTGCTCATATTGTGAAGTCGAACTCGTGAATTCGGTACCTTCGTCTTGGTAAATGAAAATGGCGTTAACAGTACAGGGGCGCCTCGTTGACACATGACCATCATCGGTCGATCGTGGGCTGTATGTTAACTTGTGGCCTTCACATTAGATGGTATGCGCCTTATCTTTTCGGCTGCTGACGACAGTTTATGCTACCATGCTTAGTGTTCCTGTGTGCCGTGAGAGCTACTCCCACCGAATTTGTCTGTGCTCTCCTAACCCCCCCACACACACATGCGGGACTTAAAGCTTCAGGACGCGCAGTTTCTATTATATTGTTCATCTTTTGGAGTATTACGGCATTCCTGATGTCTTGCACCTGGGCTTTTTGCCTTGGTATTTTTATCTCCATGAAATCAGTACAGTAACTCAACAAAGTACACAAATATATGGGCATGGAACACATAACAGCAGTTCCAACAATTAAACCCATGTAGGGACAAGCGGGATGACTAGTCTGAAGTGAGCACATGGATTTGTCCAATGACTGTTAAGTGAAAGCGCGTTAAATCATGACGGATCAATTGCGAGGACAATTCTTAATACCATTGTAGAGCATAATGTGGCAACAGCACAAAGTTCCCTCCTCTGCTTGAAATCATGTAATCACATTATGCCAATGTTTAAGCGGTTGTGTATGCCCGAGGCAGTTAGGCATTTACACCCATGGTGCAAGCATCACTCTTAGTTGCTCATCAAAACATACCGGTTGACGTGTTGACGCATCCGGTTTGATAATTGTTGGCTTTCTGCTGTTCATGCTCTTGTTGTAGTCGTTCGTAGTATAAATTCGGAGTCGGTACAGTCTTTACTATGGCAGAAGTCATTTCTACCGACTCGAAGTACACAGGGTCCAATGTGCAGTCCTCAGGAAAACACTAGGGCTAATACTTTGCTGCTTTTTGCAACACACCTTATGACAATTTTTAAAGTTTGGGATGACGGTTGATAAACGGCAATTCTACGAAACCCCCTTAACTAACAATATGCCTTTGAATGGTCTGGAGAGCCTGATCACAACTCGGCTACCACCCACTGTCTTTTATTAAGAGTGGGTGTGATCACTTCATTTCGGTGCCTCCTTCCGTCTCAACATCATCAGTTTTTCATCGGATCTCCTCGCTGCCGTGAGGTTTATACCCGATCTTCCAGTTAGCTTCAATCTATTCTCTGACGATAATAACTCATTACATCGCCCAAACATAATCATCGTCATTATGCACGTCAGCTAGTGGTGGGAAACGCCTCAGCTAATGTGCCGCAATATATAAATGAAAAAGGAAAATAAATACAAAATTTGCATGCCAGCTGAGCTACCAGCAACGGATAGGCATCGTTCCGGTAAGCTACCAGCCAACCACTAGGCAAAAAGAAAAAATTATTGTGTTTTACGCTAAGAAATGAGATCGTAGATGGAGGGGGAGACTAAAAGGGATGGGGAGGGACAAAGAAACTCACAGCAGTAACCCCACTGAGGTCGGCTCCTTGCCATGTCAGCAAGTGTATCCAGCCAAACCTGTTCATCGTCTTTCGGACCCCAACCAGGGAGCCGTGACGCTCCAACCGAGGCCAGCTCAGAAGTGAGGGCCTTCATTCCTCTTGACCAAGTCATCGCTTGGCCACTCCTCTTCTTCCATCCAAGTCCCCTGTGAGCAAATAACGCACGTCGTGGAAGTCGATGGGCTGGCATGCGCAATACGTGGCTGAGCCATCGGAGCCTAGTACGTGAAATGACGGTGCTGAGCGGTTCAGTTCCTTTTCCTGTGCCGTGAACAAGGCGTCGAACACGCTCGTTACTCACGCCGTGTTCCCACCAGATGTGAGCCAAACTGCGAAGGCACCGATGGTAGAACGTAACTAGCCTCTTCATGTCCGCCGATCTTAGGGGCCAGGTTTCGCAACCGTACAGTAAGGTCGAACGTACCGCTGCATCATACATTCTACCGTTCAGGACGAGAGTGATGTCGCGTCGCCGCCATAGATGGCGAAGGTTAGCAAAAGCACTTCGGCCTTTTGCTATGCGGTTCGCGATGTCGTCTTCTATCCCAAGGGCGTTGATACAACGTCCCAGGTAGCTGAATTTTTGAACGACTTCTAGCTGATCCGCACCAAGGTTCAGCGTAGGAGGCGGTCCAGACCAATCTTGGAGGAACGCTTTGCATTTCGGTGGTGCAAAGCAAAGCCCGAAGCGGCTGACAGCCAGTGCTAATCTGTCCAGCGCAGCTTGGCACCTCTGGGAGCTGTCACAGATGAGGGCAATGTCGTCTGCATACTCCAAGTCGAGAAGTCGTTCTCCTGGGAGTAGCTCCACACCTTCCAAGTCATGTCCTGTAAATGCAATCTCCATGACTTCATCAATAGCGAAGTTGAGAAGGAAAGGTGACAGCGGGCATCCTTGTCTCGCACCGCTGGAGATATTGAAGTTTGACGACAGGTTGCCGTAAGCCCTCACTCTGCCCGTTCTACGCGCATATAATGCTTGGATAATATTTACATATTTCTCGTTCACACCTTTCCTGAGTAGACAATTCCAAAATGTACATCGATCAACCGAATCGAAGGCACCTTTGATGTCGAGGAACACGACAACGGTGGGCCGCCAATATGTGTGACAGTGCTCTAACAACTGACGCACAGTGCAGATGTGGTCGATGCAGCCACGACCCCGACGAAACCCGGCTTGCTCCTCACGAATCTGGCTTTCACGAGTGTCAGTCAGTCTGTGAAGAATTATGTAGGCGAGTAATTTGGAGGCGATGGAGATCAGACTGATTCCTCTATGGTTTCCGCATTCCCAACCCGAGCCTCCTTTGAAGGTAGGAACAATACCGGAGCGGCTCCAGTTGGTTGGGACAGTCCCCTGCTCCCACAGTTTTACTAGTAATTCATGTAAAGCATCAACAAGAGTAGAGCCTCCGAATTTGAAAAGGGCTGGAGGAAGATCATCTGGTCCCGCGGCTTTATTTAACTTCAACAGTGCGATGTCACTTTCGACTTCTGAGCGAGAGGGTGGATCCAAAGGGACAGCCCACGGAGCAGGGCGATCACTGGTCGGCGAAGAATCGAACAATTCTAGCCGATTAAATTGCTTTTCAAAATGCTCAGCCCAACGCTCCAAGCGTTTTGACTGTCCACTCTCGTCACGTATAGTTTCACTAACCCCTGGTCTCCTGTTGCCCTTTATATGATCGATCTGCGTCCAAGGCTGGTTCGAGGCTGGTGGGCGCTAAGTCACCCTCCTGCGGGTGCTGTGTCGGAAATTAGTGCTCGCAAGAAATAAGCGAGCATCTTCACACAAATGAAGTAACCGCCCACCGTTATCATTACGGGAGCCTACACCGTTCTGACCACCCAAATGTATTTCATCAGTGAACAACTTTCCAACTTGCGCGTTCAGATCCCCAGCCGGCACAACAGTGTTTGTGCTTCTTTTGTGGCGTAGGAGCTGGGTTAGTTGGCGGTAAAAGTCGTTCATTAGCGATTCATCCATATAGGTTGTGGACGTGTAGGCAGCGATGATGCATAGACACCTATTAGTCCCGTGCGACTTCGAAGCTTTGAAGGAGCCAGCCAATCGGACCGCACACATCCGGCTACTGATTGGAATCCAATCAGCCAGAGCAGCTTCTGCACTTGCTCCAAATGCAAGCCGATGAACTGGAATGGACCGCTTGCTTGGACATGGGCTTGTCGGCAGGAGAGGAGTGACGCTCCGCGTTCACATGTGAGTTGAAATTAGACGAAAAATGTCTATCAAGGCATGTTGGAGGAGGGCCAAGAATCGAGGGGTTGAAAACTGGGGGGATAAAAGTGAAGTTGGAACGGGACGGTGCAAAAGCGTAAGAAGACGGAAATGCTTGAGCAGTAGCATCTAAATCTCTATCAATCCTGCTCCATGCAGCGGATAGGGCACCGTTGATTATCGTCTGCGGTGGCCAGAGCGTCAAGAAATTATTTGAGGAAAGATTCATTGTGTCCGCTAAACTGCTCTTCTAAATGCTCCAACACGCAAGTCGGTGAGTTTGAGAATTAACCAATTGTCGTTTTTTGTCCGCAGCGCTTTTGCTATCTTCGCACCCTTTGATCACCCAGAGATACTGCAATTTTCTGGATCATTGTCCTCATTCCAGTATGTTGCGCAGGAGCGGCCGTCCGAAGCCACATATCCTCTTTTTTAGTGGTAACTGTTTCTCTCATTTGTTATGTAAATTACCCATATTCCAACGCTGCACAATTGACGATAGAATGTCTATAATATTTCCCGCAAAGCTGCATAAAAAATCCAAACTTTTGCAAAGAAAG